TGCTGAAGCTGGTATGGTGATGGTGGTAGTGTTTATGGCAGGTGTTGTCAAAGTCGCTCTCAGTAAAGCCCCGGATACCTTGTCTACTTGTCCACGGGTCAACATTTTATAGCTTAAGATCCGTCTCATCTACGTCATAATATAACATGTAACACATTAATTCGGTGTTTATTGACATACATTTAACATTATGTCAATATAAATGTTAAGACTCACCTGTTGGATGTACTGTATAAGTGAGGATGAGTCATCCTTCACCTACTTTTCTGGATGTTAGTCATCCTCCATCCCACCCTCACGCCTCCGTTGCCACCGTAGTGGGTGTGAATGGGAAGGAAGAGTTGTGAGTGCTTGTGTAGGAGTAGTGTTTGTGTATGAATATGCGTGTTTGTATGTGTGAGTATTATTGTGTGTTTATACGTGTGAACGTAAGTGGGGTTGTGTTAATGTGTGTGTGTGTACACAGTACGAGTCATGGCATCAGTTCCTCCTGGGGATTGTTGGGCCGTATCACCTTCCAGTGTAAGATGATCTGTTATTTTCCACACCCTTTTTCTGTAATACCTCCTAAATTAAACAGATAATTTGGTTAAAAATTGATGTCTGGGAAGGGACTAACGATGACGGGGGAACGTTGGTCTTAGTAACTCAACCTCTTATAATATTTGTTGATGATGCAAAAGGTTATATCCGAGAAGTAACGAGAGGACAATGATAGATTCTTAGTAATAGTAACGTCAACTTTTGAGGATGAAACCAACTCTAACGACAGAAACACTCTCGTTTAACCCTAATGAGGAGGACGCTAGTGGCTATCGATAATACGTTGTTTTAGAAAAAAATTGGGTGTTTTGATATGAATTTGACTTTCAGAGACTGTGAATGGTGTCAACGCTGTTAAGCATATACAACAAAAAACGTTATGGTAGCACTGATTTTTTAGGCTCGAGATGACGCTTGTTAGGTAGACGCTGATAACATAAACACCTCAAAGTAATGACTTTAAGAGGGAAGTGAAAGCACAAGGTGAGCGAGTAAGTGGTCATCCGCCTCGCATCTTCTAGTGACTGGTAGGTGAGACAGGAAGTGCCGTCTCCCACACTGATGATGAAGCGTCAAGGGCTGTGTCCTGCCGCCCTGCGCCGCCGCCGTCAGCTGGAGTGCCTTAGGAGTATAGCTGTAGTACTGAGTGTTGCGTTGTGCTGTGTTAACATTGTTCTCAGGAACCAGTTGTAAATATATATATATATATATATATATATATATATATATTGGAATATTAAACATGATGAACTCTTGTTGCTATGAAGAACATATTACATTATCTAGGTTACTACCCAAGTCCTATAATGGATTAGATTATTGAGTTAATATTGGTAAACAAATTCTCCGAACGTCGTGAACTTCCTGGAACAAACTTAGGTCAGGTTGTACGGTCGTGGATGGCTTAGTGATAAGTCTCGCGTCCTTTCTTCATGAAGAAAAAAAGTGAGGTAGCCTGAGGCTGGTGACGCTACGGCTATATTCTACCAAGGTCCTGAGACTGTAGAGGCGAGGAAGTGTGGACTGAGTCATATATGACGTCACCCACGGTAGTGATGTCACGGCTGGCGAGTGAAGACCCTACCCTTTGTAGAAGACCGGATGGAGGTGGGGAGAAGGAGAGCGGTAGGGAATAAATAATATAGAGGGATGGAGTAAATGAGGGAAAAGGAAGAAGTGAGGGAACGAAAGGAAGGAGGGACGGAGTAAATAATGGAGGAGGAATGGAATGAGGGAACTAAACGATGGAGGGAGGGATATAGTGAAGGTAGAGGGAGGAGGGTGTGAGCAGAGAAGAGTGAAGGTTTACTATCCGCCAGCGTGTTCACCTCAGTAACAGGTAGAGTAAGTTGTGCGTCACCCATTTCCTTGTGTTATTGTGAATGGACGAGAGGGAGGGGGGAGGGTCCACGGCTACACGCCCTAATTTTTTTTATAACTTTGAGATCCCGCTCCCTTTCTTGCTCACCTGTCACACTCTCTTCCGTGGAACACACATCTGTATTTGCGAAAAAAGGAAAAATGCCTGGACACGTCTGGCATTACTTATTGACCGCTGCTTTTCTGCATAGATTATGTCAGGATCACAGTCAGAAAATATCCCACACATTATTATACAGGAAATTGGGGTAAAATTATGTTAAGATCCACAGTCGCCGTAAACGTATTATACATGAGACCATTGGTTACATCATACATAATATTAACGAAATTGTCCAGAAATAGTGTGTCCGCAACCATACATGTATACCAATGAAACATCAAACACACACACACACACACACACACAGGCTGGATAGTTACGAAAAAATCAAGTCTTTTCCCAGTCACATGGCAGTTCAAGTGTAGGTGTGTGTGTGTGTGTGTGTGTGTGTGTCCTTCCCATACACGTGAGGTATCAACAATAGTTTGGCGGAAGCTTCACGTCTCTTCTGGGATGATATAAAATGATGATCAGATGCACTTTCTTTGTTGAAATAATCATTTACTTGGTTTTCTCCCTTCACTTTTAATTATTTATTTACGTATTTACTGAATTTCCTTCCTTTTAGTCTCATTATTTGTTATCATAATAATAATTTCATTGTTATTTATATTATTATTTTTATTATTATTAATATTGTTGTTATTATTATTATTATTATTATTATTATTATTATTATTATTATTATTATTAATTATTTCAGTTTAGTTGTACGGGAAAACACAATCAACAAAGCAACAACAGGGTTTTTCAGCTGTGTCCTGCACACGAGGTAAGCTGGTCGTGCTTCATACACCTGTTGTTCTGGTCATGTTCATGGTAGTGCGAACACCTGTGTACCTGGTCATGTTCATGGTAGTGTGTACACCTGTTATCCTGGTCATGCTCATGGTAGTGTGAGCACCTGTTGTGCTGGTCATGCCCATGATAGTGCGGACAACTGTTGTCCTAGTCACTCTCATGGTAGGGGATACGGTTTTTAGCTTCATATTACCAGATACAGGTGTTTATTTGTAATCTGTGCAGTTGCAGGCGTAAATAAAAGTAATGTTGGGGCATTACCCGGAGGAGATGGTCAAGACAAGACAGTGATGTTAGAACATATGTCTACTGAAGAGGTTAGCTTCATGCATAGATTTTCTTATTACTGAGATGTAAGATCAAGCTTGTTTTTGGGGTGTAGAGTCTAAGGTTTACCTGAGTTGTGTCGTGTTTCCGTCAATAATAATAATAATAATAATAATAATAATTATTAATATTATTATTATTATTATTATTATTATTATTATTATTATGATTATTATTATAGAAATAATACTAGTACTAATCCTTGTACACGTATATAAAAATAAGAAATGCAAAATCACAAGAACATTAAGTTTTCAACAAAATTCCCAAAACACGTCCAACACTCTTCATTTGCTGGAACTAGTCTCCGAACTGTTGGTCTAACTCGTAAATAGTGCAGCAGTGACTCATTTGGCTTCGGTACAATTTGTAACAGTTGGTGACTTACACAGTACTGTATTCAAGGCTGATCAAAATAAACGAAGATGGTAGAGCTGCATCGGGGTATGTTGGTTGAGTGCGTGAGGAGGCGTGCGGCTGGGTCATGACCTCACCACAGGTGTAAGTAGATATGAATGAAACTCGTTCTCCAGCACAGTGAAGAACGTTACTATGGCTAACCCCTATGTTTCCACTGGGCTAACCTGTATGTTACCTTGTTGGTATTTGGTGGAATTTTAGAATAATTTACGAGTAGGTGTTATAGTAACGCGAGATTTTTGTATGTTAACTTGTCAACATGATAATTAATGAAACACACACACGCACACCTACGCATACACATGCACCGAAGGGTCAAGACGTACCTGGCGCTCCTCTGGGAGCAGCCAGGTCAACTGTTAAGTTGGCCCACACCAACTCCCTCCCCTGAACCCACCTCCCCACCGGAATATCAACAAGTTCTCGCCAGAAGTTACAATTTCATTTAGGAAAGGAATGGAACCAGTGTTGAACAGAGGCGAACAGTGGTGAACAGTGCTTAAGTCAGTGAGAACAACTCAGCAGTAACAGCCGAGTCGTACCCAAGTTAATCTTCACACAGTGAGGTCCCAGGAACTCAGTATTAACTGCCCGTGAGACCCAACAACAACCAGCGATGTGTTAGTCCGTCTACGATAGGAAGGCCTGGGACCAAACCTCACTCATATAACACCATCTATGAAGAAATTATTACACCACGTGAGGTCCCTCATAACACCACTCTGTGAGGGAATTACTACACCACGTGAGGTCCCTCATAACACCATCTGTGAGGGAATTACTACACCACGTCAGGCCTCTCATAACACCATCTGTGAGGGAATTTATACACCACGTGATGCCCCTTATAACACCATCTGTGAGGGAGTTACTACACCACGTGAGGCCTCTCGTAACACCATCTGTGAGGGAATTACTACACCACGTCAGGCCCCTCATAACACCATCTCTGAGGGAACTACTACACCACGTGAGGTCCCTCCTAACACCATCTAGGAGGGAGTTACTACACTGCTTGTTTGCTGTTCAACACCAACATTAATCTGTATGTTCACTGTATGGGGTAGTAGGTAGTAGGCAGCTACCAAACAGGGAGGTACTACTGCTTGGGAAGACATTGGAAGCATAATGTATTGTTTAATGGTAGACCCTGCTGCCGTATGGCATCACGAAAATTGTGACCAAGTCCCAGGTTACTGATCTGACTTTCTGCCTCATTTAAGAACATACGAACATTTAAACACAATTGCAGGGTCTCAGTTGTTTCTCTCACTTTGACAACACAACATACATACTGTATATTGTTTCTCACTCTTGATTTTTTTTTCATTTTTGTATTTCTTTATGGTTCTTTATTATTATTATTATTATTATTATTATTATTATTATTATTATTATTATTATAATTTTCGTCCCCTAGGCCTCGATGTGGGTCAGTGACCTGTGCCCAGGTGGGCTAATCCCCGTAAAAAAAAAAAGTTCCTGTACCTCTCTCTAATCAAGGCTTTTATTTCACCACCAATGTTTGTAATAAGTCATTTATGTCCAATGTATATTTCCAGCCTTCGGGCTACAGAACCTTTTCAATAAACCGTTAATTATTATTATTATTACACACACACATACACACATAATGATAATGGTTGCCCATCGTGTAACGAGGATGGCCGGCCAGAGGGCCACCTAGGCGTGAATTTGTTTAAGGTGTAGAAGCTGTCGCCAACACAAAAACCACACCCTAAGTTAACCAGCTGCTTGACCCAGTGTCAAGGAATTGTCCGAGAAGACCGGACAACTCGCCAACTGCACTGGCTAACCATTACCCCAGAATACGATCCGCAAATCGATTAATATCCAGGTTCCCAATTACTGCTGGGTAGACAGAGGCAAATGGCGTAAAGAATCTTGCCCATAGTTTCACCCTGCCCGAGGATCGAAACCGGGTCCGCTAGCTTGAGAGACGAGAATGCTGACCATTACACCACACGAACACACAGTTTGATTTCAGATAGATGTGGTTGATTATAGAAACCTGTCATAAAGATTATATTTTCTTCGTGTAGCTAAGGCAGTGGAACACGGTTGGTGACGCCACAGGTGATAAGTTTGCTGTTGCCAGTAACCATTTAGAAACAGACACGCGTATGGTCAGAGTACAGTTACAAGCCAGTGCTGTCACAAGACCAGGAAGCTCGCCAGCAGGTGCAGGTGAGTCCTGTTTCTTGACCTCTGGCTGACCCAGGGGCAAAACCCAGGGACAGTGGTGCTAAGAGACAGATAATCAGGTAAACATTCTCAGTACAGTACACCTACAAAGATAAAAAATATATATATTCATGTCCTGATATATTACTGATTAAGAAATGTAAAAGTTATTATTTTTTAGTGCAAAGCAACGACAACGCTCGACAGTCTAGTAAAGTGACGAGTGGTGAGGATCAGTACTGTACTGTACATGACTCATGTCCCGCTTCCTGCTGGCGCGCTGTGGAGAAGTCTAAGGAAACATCACCTACACTTTGTTGAAAGAATAGAAAACGGGCGTCAACGATTGTTTATAACTTTATATGACAGCTGAGTAGCCTATAAAAATGAAGAATTGTGTCTGGTAGCGAAGGTTTATGCAGGCGTATAGACCAGGAGAGTTGGGAGATGAAAAGCAGGCTCTCTTCTCTCTCCCCAGTTGAGGAGAGCTTGACCTCATCACTTGGCTGGATACTCCCTTTATGTTCATTCGTTCAGCCATATCACCACGACCCGTCCCACATTATGATCTGAATGAACACACAAAAAGCAACACGAGAACAAAACAACAAAGGAATTATGTCCATTTGAAATTTCTTCACAGGAAAAAACAATAAGAAATACAGCACTAATTGTCATGTATTTCATGCACGAAGAAATTCAGCGCAGAAGTTCAATTTAGAACTGATTGTTTTGATTCTTCTGTTATGTTATCTCGGCCAGTTTTTTATTTGACTAAAGTTCAGTTAGCGGTGAATACTATGTCTCCAGAGTGTATTTTGAGGGTGATTAAAATTTGATTCTGTTATTATTATTACTATTACTATTATTATTATTATTATTATTATTATTATTATTATTATTATTATTATATTGGTGCTACTATAGCGTGAGGTTTACAAAGATATCTTTAGTCTAACCTAACCTAAGCTAACTTAACCCAAATATCTTGTAGACCGCATGCTGCAGTAGTACCATTATATCATAATCATCACATTATTATTATTATTATTATTATTATTATTATTATTATTAAACACTATTAGAACTAGCTTAAAATATTGTTCGAGAACGTGATAAACTTTATGGCATTGAAATGTATTAATAACACCAACGCTTTAGGTCAGATCCTCCAAGAATCGTACCTAAGTCTTGGTGGAGTCTTATTGCAGATTGAACGACATTTTTGGATCTATTTATACGTCGTAGCTTCATTGGAGTAAAATAGACGTGTTCTCGTATCTCCAGCATGGGAATGAAATTTTATGTACAAACATTATATCGTAAGTTAAGTGAGCCGGCCAGTTGCGCTTCGGAGGAAAATTTACTTATTTCGCAGTTAGTCACAGTCCATCTTGGAGGAAAATTTAACGTAGGTGTGCCTCGGTCTCACTCACGCATCTTTATATTTATCGTTGACAGAAGATTTGTTTTGAAGCCTTTGTGACGGGCAGCCGAGGCCAAGCGAACCCGACGGAATCTAGCTGAACATAGATGAACCTTAGATGAAGCCAACTGAACCGTACGAAATCCGGGTGAGAACAAATGGACCTAAGTGAACCCGAGGCAGGGACGACGGAAGTAGACGGGGTTCACTCCCCAAGTGAAACCAGGTTTTCATAAATGAACCTCGATTGACTCATGGTGAAGTATGGCCATAGGACGGACTTCTTCTAAAGTGATACCAAATGGACTTGGGAACCTGTCTGTAGAGGTTGGAAGTAAAAGCAGGTCCCATAAACCTCACGTCCTCTTAGGAGCAATGTGGATACAGCACACTGAATACTAAACCTTCGGTACACCAGGAGGCACCAGGAGGCATTGCACTCTATCGTTTTCACTTCCCCAATTATAAAATTACTTATACATTCACATCTGGGCAGAGTAAAGTGGCCTCGGGCGAGGACCAGCGGCCCTTTAAGCAGGAGATGACAGCTGTATCTAGTCGTCCGCTGTACCCACCCGCTGTACCCACCCAGTAACTACTAAATCTTCACTGATTTTGCTTCTTCCGCTGACATTAATACAATATTTTGTACCATAGTCAAAGTATTTGTCCTTATGACATTTGTTTTACACTTTATAATGTTTGTTTGTTTGTCTCTATCTGTTGTGATTCAGAGTCACCAGCAGCTGAGTAAGGTCATGACCAGAGGCTGTGGTTTGACGTCATCATGCTCACATGATGTCAGAGTTTTTGTCAACCCCGTAAAGTTTTGTTCGTAGCGTTGTGTGCAAGTCCTGAGCTATTTAAGTATTTAAAATGTAATTATGTCTCAATAAAGATAAAGGTAGTGTCAGTAAGATAAATTTATTGTCATGTATTTTTTTGTTTAGACTGTATTTTACAGTTCATATATAATATTTATTTATATATTATCTAAGTAAACACTAGAAACCAGAACCACGAACTGATCGAAGCGCTCTCGTGGGTTTATTAACGTCTCCAGGAATACTCTGGGAGCGGCTCTTACTGTCCGTTCATATGACTCACGTCTCCTCTGAATTTTGTGTGTTTATATACTGAGCAGGTAACCTTGACCAACACCATGTAAGTTAGGGTGAGGTGCAGGGGGAAGCACTGCCCAGTTTACCTCCTCACGTCATCTTCACTGTTAGGAAAATCAATATATTGATCGTCACAGGTCTTGAAAGTTTGGTTTATAATTAGAAGAGATTGGTTTGGTTATTGTAAAAAAATCGGTGATGATAATAGTGTTTGTAACTATCAAGAAAATAGCGTATTTGAATTGACTGAAGATAGTAAATACTGGCGAGCTGAGCTATCATTATACACCTTCCGTCAACCCAAACGCTGGGTGGAGTGACAACCTGACTCAGTGAATATAATATTTTATCAATTTTTCCACAAATTTTTGCCGATGTTTTGTTTTTCTTCAAGTGAACGAGAAAGCAGTATACACCCTCGCTGTAGAGACACCGCTACAATACAAGTCGTAAGGGCCAGTTGATAGTGATTCAGGCTCCATATTTGAGCGTGTGTGTGTGGAAAGGGTATGGGTGGGTTATGGTGGGCAGGCGGGTGGGTAGTTGGGTGAGTACCTACCACTGTCGTGTGGTCACACTCTTTTAGTGAAAAGTTATGAGAGAAACTATAGACAGAAAACCAGTGTAGGCAACAAAGCTTTACAGAGCTCACAGTTAGACCCAAATGACTGAATAGGTGGAAGGGAAAACTAACACTGGAACCTGTTACGACCCAGGTCTCTTAAGTGTAACAAAATCACAAATTCAACTTCTCTTTGTATTATACTGTAGGTCCAAGGAATAGATCCCACCAAAATCATCACCTCATTACTATGGGGTATATTGAAATACTCGAAGTAGATTTAATTACAGAATATATTAACAAACAAACACTAAAACAAATATATCAGCTATGTATAAAAATAAACAAATACAAACTAAATCTGATCAAATAAATGACTCAACTGAGTGCCAAAATAATGAACATAAAAGTAAAGACTAATTTAGTCAAGAAACTACCATGAACAACGTGGTCTATCCACCACACGAAACCTCATAAATAAGTTATTTTCCGTGGAACTCGAAAATATGATTAACAATAATCTTTCACAAATAATACTTTACTTGGTGTTATAAGAGTCGAGCAAGGTTTACACGTTATACCACTAGTAAGACACTGTACATTTAGAAAGGAAATACTCTGTACTTAACTTATCACTACCAGCCAATACTATATCCCCCACCCCAGCCCCTGGCAAACATCCCCTCATCCTATTTTTATTTTTACTACAAAAGGCTCTGTCCAAGTACCTTACCTGTGAGTCACCAACAATTAAAATTTTCATACCTTCCTTGTCAGCCCTGTCCCTGACTGTACTAACGTCCATTTCGTCTATCAAGGGACTGAACGAGTTGGTACACTTAGCTGTTGTTGTCGTTGTTGTATCCTTGGTGTGTTTCTTGGCCACCAGCTTGGTAGTCCCTCTCCTCACAACCTTTCATTCGTCATTCACCGGCTTTCCCTGTCTCGTTTCTTCCTTCATCTTTGATATCTCTTCCTTTAATTTCAAGATTTCTTGCTCTAATTTCAGGTTTTTTCCTTGGTATTCTGTAACTCGGTCCACAGATGGGCATAACCTCGTTTACAAGTAGCACTAGCCATATCTGGTAATTATCCCCGGGAGCGGAGCTAAGCTGCCGTGACCTTTCCCCTAGTGAGGTCAGAACACAACTAAACTAAATCTGATTAAATAAATGACTCAACCGAAAGACAAAATAATGAACATAAAAGTAAAGACTTATTTAGTCTAGAAACTACCATGAACAACGTGGTCTATCCACCACACGAAACCTCATAAATAAGGAAGTTATTTTCCGTGGAACTCTAAAATATGATTAACAATAATCTTTCACAAATAATACTTTACTTGGTGTTATAAAAGTCGAGCAAGGTTTACACGTTATACCACTAGAAATACACTGTACAATAAGAAAGGAGATACTCTGTATTTAGCTTATCACTGCCGGCCCAATACTGGCGGTAAACAAAGCGAGCAGAGGTGGGCAGAAATAAAGTCACAAACAAAAGACGTTCATGTTGCGAATCCACAACCAACCATGGAACGCTCACTCGTAACAAACCCAACGAACCCAAGACCTGTGGTTAGAGCCTGCCCTCTTGCCTCACACTACATCCTTGACTACTGTAGGGTAAAGACCTTTTCAGGCGCTGCTCCCGCTGAGCAGCTGCCCCTCTTGGCCAATGTCGACCCATTCCCCAAGTCCCTTTCCCCGACCCATCCTCACCACCGGGATATCTACATAATCAAAAGTGACAATTTCGCTTCGGAAACAAGTGGGCTCAGTGTTGAACAGTGATCAACAGTGTTTAAGTCGGTGAATTCAGCACTTGACAGTACCAGTGAAAGCCGCGACCCACCAGTGAGATAAGCACCCCTGGGAACTAACCACCATCT